TAGAGAAAGAGGTCAGGACTATTGAATTTGTCTTGTTATACTCATAGCGACAGGAAATCCTCCATTACATTTCCATTTCCTATATTTTCAACGGAAACTAACCTTAACTTCGAGACTCACCTTGTAATTCCAAATCAGGTTGTACGCTGTCAGATCTTGACTGAATCTGTAAAAAAGATCCGCTTAAATATCATTGCTTTTTCATCTTTCAAACGACTAGAACATTTTCCCATTTTCTTAATATGAACACTTACTTGTAATAAAAAAACTGGATTTAAATTCTCACATCTTTCCTGGATTTGAATCCTATTTTTGTCCTCCAATGCGAGAGATATCCTTCAAGTTGATTCTCAACGTTCCCCTCGTTTTTCCAGAGCTCTAAGACACAAGTATAGCACGTGAAATAACAGGCTTATACGTACATGCAAGCATGCATTATGAAATTTTGGAACACGATTGTTGATTTAAAACGTACTTCTGCAAGCTTTACATTGTCACGAATTGATAAACGATCTTCTTCAGTCTCTGGTGGCTGAAGGAAAGATAAAAACTTTCCAACAAAATTGTTTCTTTACAAAAAGGTTTTACACTTCTGAATGAATTACCATTTAATTATTTCGTCAGGGGGCAGTTGGCACAGTTTAAGGATGAATGATGGAGTTTAGTTACCAAAGCAGTTGATATCCACTTAGTCATGAATACGATTGGTTAGTCAGAATCACCTCAATGGGTTTATGTAAATAATGGCCCTCGCAAAAAAGTTTTCAAAGATTTCTTACTTCGTCAGGGCTTTCAAGGTAATAGAGCAAACCAGCAGGCTGTGAAAATCGTATTCAAATTTATTACATAATTGTTTATGAACCAAAAATTATGAACAGGAAATCTCGCATTTAAACTTTCTTGTATATTTTAGACATTAAAAACTATAACTACTTTAATACGAACATTATTCTCGCAAGTAATGCCATTGCTGTTGGATGATGCTATGCCAACAATAATGATTATAAATTACTTATGGAGTATGCTTGTTAGTCTCAATTGAACTATTTACAGATGGCTAGTATATAGAGGATTATAAAATCACAAGTTTTAAGATGAATCTGAGAATGTTGCTAAAATACAACTCAGGTCCTGCGGATGGAATAGAGGCTATACCTCTGCAACAATTTGTTAATTTATCACACTAATTCGCACCTGTTCAATAGCGAACGTCTATCAGTGCTTTGCAACATGGCCATGCGTAAGCGTTTTGGTAGAGCGCCCTCGGCAAGCGCCAGAACTTGTATTTTTGCCGCGGTTTCTTCATCAGCTTCCTAAAGTGAAGTTCTAACTAAATATCAACAGATGATTTTAGGCACTTCACACGATGCAGGAATATTCTTGAGGTTTTAAAGGGTCTTAATTTCGAGTGGTATTATACGCACTTCAAATTCAAGCAGGGAACAGTTGATGGAAAAATGAGTCAACTGTACGTCCTCAGTGACAAGAGCATTGCACCGGCATCGCAAAAGCGTAGGTTCGATTCCTGCCGGAGGATCTATAGTTCACTCATTTTTCCGTCATCTGTTCCTGGCTTGATTTGAAGTGTGTATAATACTCTCAAAATTAAGACCCTTTAAAACCTCTTAAATATCAACTGAACTAATATGTACATTCATCACGGCTAAAAAATGCAGAGCGTTATAAATGACGTTCGTCAAAGGCAGAAAATTCTCAATGGATGAATAAATGAATAAAACGTACCTCGATTATCGCCTTCAGAACCATGCCAGCACCTTTCACAATTGTTGTCGACGGATGCTGAAATTGTTGAGGAACGAATTCAAAACCACGATTGGTAAGAACCATTAGCGGGCAATAGTAAAACATACATAAGCGAAGAAATGGTAAAATTGTACTATTATTTAGTTTTGTCGTAAACCTACCTGGAACAATCGATAAATGCAATGACCCATTTCTAGACAAACAAATAACAGACTTCATGAGTTGCTCCTATGCATGGGTCAAGCTAGTGGACGTGGTAAACTTCACCAAAAAGGTAAAGAGAGAAAGGCTATTTAATCAACTCTCAACCTCAGTCAAAGAGCCATAAACTACCAAGAAGACAAGTTGAATGAAAAGCTCCTCAAATTTCTTTGTAGCATACCTGCAACTTTCTCCAGTAATTTCCCAAACTGTTCATCATCTGTTGTCTCACTAAGAGGAATATGCAATAGTCGATTTATTGTAACAGACTACATGAGTTGATTCAAAATATTGGAAGCAATCACACCTTACTATTAGTTTAACATGAATGTCCAACTTCACCCCCGTATTATTTTAATATATTGCAAAGCAACTAGAACAAACCTGTAAGGAGGACACAGAGCAAACGTCAGAAAATCAAGCAATCCACTTATAACTAAAACCCCAGTAGAACGAATATAGAAGAAAAGTTTTCATGGTTAATCTATTTCTTGTGTTTAGTTAGAAAGGTAGTTCAAATTAGAAAGGCAGTTGCTACGAATCACTTGCTGGGTTTTGCAAGGGAATTTCTCTTCCAAAACAAAGCTATATACATACAAGAGGGATGGAAAAATAAAATGCAAGGGTTCAGCATAGATTATAGGCAACCAACACCGCACATCTTACCACATTTATCGTGAGAATTTCCAACAAACTGCTTAGAAATTTTTCAGAGGATAACAAAGAGCTTTTGTTTATCTGTTCTTGTCGAATGTCATAGTTATCGTGCGTTGGCTATATAAAAAACAGAATTGGTTTCGATAAAATTGGATCCTGTTAACATTCAGATTTCAAAGTTGGCTGAGTTTATGTGGATTGCAAGTTAAAGGGGTAACACTAATGACAGTGACAGATTTGGCAACATATTACCAGGAAATTCATCGTTAAAGTGTTGGCGCTTTCCTTTATACGGAAAAAACGGCCAGACCGGTCCTATTGTTGATCTCGGTACAGACAGATTACTGGTATTTTAGAGTGTTTCAAGAACTCTGCGTTCAAGTATATCGTTACTTGCATCTGTCTAGCTCGGAAATTTCGCAACTATATTCTTAACGAAATACTCTATTTTAAATTTAAATATGACCGGTCTGACCATTTTGGCCGCTTAAAGGAAAGCCCTCTCTTTACCTGCATCAGAGCACACAGCATGTCGACAGCGGCGTGAGTCACGGCTTCATTATTCCTCTTCAAAGCTTTCACAGTTTTCACACCAACCTTCTCATAGAAGCTGTAAAACAAAACAGAAACACGGTCTAGAGAAAGTGAGCTGGTTGAGTAAACAGCGTGTGTTGTGGTTAAAGATAAACGTTTCTCACCTAGTGAGCGTTGTGAAACCTGCTTTGGATCCAACCTAATGTCTCAAAGCGTGAAACAGTGCTTCGAGATCTTTATCTGATATTTTGTTTTGGTCTCCTGCAAATAGACGAAACATTTTAACTATTTTATGTATATATTGAACACCTGTGAAGGTAATAGCAGTCAGAATATGTATATTTTAGGGGTGAACACTAAATATATTTATTGGCAAAGATATACAATACCTTCGTGAGCAATGAGCATTGTGATGGCATTAATGATAAGTCTTTCTTTATTCTCCGGGAAAAGTCCTTACAAAATATTTAAAATCGTTTGAAATATATATTGGAGTTTAAAAGACTTAATATTCCAGCCGTACTTCTGGCGAGAAAATTTCAAATCTACCATTTCATGGATTCGGACCCAGTCAACTCAGCAACCAGAGTTACCGCAGCGTAGTCCCTAGCCTCTTAACGTTCCTTATACGCGGCGAGGCGGGAACTGAGAGGCCTAGAACAAATGTTTTGTATTTTGGCTATTTTGTCCCCACTTTCTGTATTGAGGTCAGTTTACGATCCACGACGCGGTTAACTGGCCTTGTTCGACGTCGCTAGTCAAATATTTGCTTGAAATAACCTACGGGATATTAATTATACTGTCAGGACTTCGAAATATCCATACAAACGTTTCAATGTCATTTGCTGTCGACGCTATCGACTATCAAGTAAACTCGAGTCCGTACGTACATGGTTATGATTATAATAAGCTTCAATTGCCAATTTAAATTATTCTCGCTTCCTTTATAACGATTATTGTTGTAAATCTAGGTCAACTAATGCATACTAAAATATGCAGAAAACTAACGTGCGTATGAAAAACACGTGAGTGGAAAACAGCCTTAATCCAGATTTTGACAGAACATTAAAACTCAGTAAAAATGCAATAATATTCTCTACACAGGATTTTGTCTGCAGAAAAGTACAAAATAAGAAATTGTCAACTTACGTCTTGGGTGACTGCATGAAGTAGACCGCTGTAGGAAATATTGCAGTTAAATCTCTACACATCTTCGGTTAAATTTCCTGCAAGGAACCAGTAATAAGACAATATAAGCTTTTGGAGATATTTCAAAAATTTAAAGTGAAATAAAAAGAGAAATATTTCACCTGGAGACGCAGCGAGGAATTTTAAATGACTGCTTTCTACTTCTTCGTCAACAACGTTATACAATGGACCCCAACGATAACCTTGAAAAATATATCATCTTAAAAAAACAATTCTTCTTTTGCTGTATGTGATGTATTGGACTGACTAATAGGAATACCTGACGAGAAGTGTAATTGTTTGTGTGTTATATGAGATCCCATACGTCAGGAGGAGAATGAAATGAGGGTTCGTATTTACGGCAATCATAGCAGTGCGAGATTTTCATCAGGAAAATTTTGACCATAATTTTCGCTCAATCATCTATGAAAAAGCGTACAGTCTCTTCGTTGGGGTCGTTTTTACACAAACATCTCCATTTCCACTGCCTCTAACCCCGTGTAGCTAACCAGCCAATGATATATCCCTAGATTGGTGAAATACAAACATTCAGAACAAGAAATATTTTATATAGCTTCATACAAAATCTGCTTTTTTAAACTACCTGTCGGAAGACGAGTAATTTCTCAGCTGACCGCTTGTGTATTCCAGCCCGAACAACTGAGGATGGTCTCGATAGCTAATTATTGAAAATATCTGACAGAAAAAGAAGTTTTAAAACTATGATATACTATAATACACAAGTCTTAACCAAACGGTATATTCTGGAAAGTAACTGCAAAAATAAAACTATTTTAAGTCGGCTGGATACTTTTTTGCAATTGGACATGTTCAAAATGGAAACGTGAAATAAAAAAGATGATAAAAGCAGTAAACTTGAATCCAGGTCAGAAGACATGGAGTGTTTGGAGTGTTTGGAGTGTTTGGAATGTTTGTTTTTTTTCTTTCAAGGTCTGAGATGAACAATTACTGGAACTGACATGGAATGTCGCATGACTTACTGAGCTAAGGGGATGAAGGCTGACGATGTTGAACATATATTATAGCAATAATAGTTTATAGTTTATTATATATTATAGTAATAGAGTTGATGTTCGCGGGCATAAATGTGTTTTTGGCCCTCCTCGCGGAACACATTTTAACCCTCGCTACGCTCGGGCTAAAATGAGTTCGAAGTCGGGCCAAAAACACATTTATGACCGCGAACATCAACCTATTGTTATTATTATCACTATAAAACACATGAGTATATACAAAATTAGTAAAATACAATAATTAGTAAATACAATAATTAGTAAATACAAAATTAGTAAAATACAATAATTAGTAAATAGATTTGAATAAATATAGTTCACCTGGTGCAAGGCACTTTTTAATGATAACTCCAAGCTTATACTTTCTGGATAATTTAATACATTCTATAGGGTTTAATGATCAATATAGGGATAAGTATCATAAAATTGTTTGGCTGTTGGGGTATAAACTATCAAAACTACAAAATTATATCCTGTCAAAATTTCGAATTCTAAAATAATGCCGGGTTTATGGTCATTTGAATTTGCTTGCTACTTTTATAATATGCAAAAAAGTAGACGGTAGACACTGATTTTAAGTTCAAATTTATAATATTTCGAAAATATATTATGCATTATTAATTATATAACATACCTTGAATAAATTTGAAGTTTTACATGATTCAAGAACATTTTCATTTGTATACCGAACTGTTTCGCCTTTGGATTTGATTCCGTTCATTAGTCAAAGTACACTTCAAGATGTCGGGCTTCCCTTCAAAATTGTCGAGGCCAGGGATATGACGGTGCTAGTGCTGTGTCCAGCCAGGTAAAAGGTATTTCTGGGAGAATATTAGAGAAAAACCCGAAGGCGTTGCATGTTCATTACTCCAGTCATCGTTTAAACCTTATTGTTGCCAAAGCGTGTTCAATTCTTCCAGTGAAAAATATGTTGAGTCAGGCACAAAATATCGCCAGCTTTTTTATCAGTTTCCCTATCCGCTCACAGTATCTAAGTAAAAAGATGAAAGAGTTTGGTTTAACCCGTAACAAGCTCGCAAAGCCTTCCACGACACGATGGGTAGAACGAATAAGATCCCGCGATGGTTGTTTGGATGCATTCAAAGTTATCTACAAAACACTCAATTTTATGCAGTTTGGAGGATCGCAGGAAGGGCCATTTCCTAGATTAGCTAGTGACGCACAGTCTCATTTTGCAACGTGGAGAAATTTGAATTTATGGCTGCTCTCATTATCACCCAACATGTTCTGGATCATACTTTGTCATTGACGGTCCAATTAAAGAAGAAAAAAAATCGATATTGCGGAATCAATAAAACAGATTAATCTTTTAAAGGATGAAATGGCAAAACTACGTGCCTCTGTAGATTTATTCCACAATGAATACTACGACAAGCTGTTGGAATTAGCTAATAACCTCGACGTGGCTGAGTGTTTTCCCCGGGTATGTAAAGCTCAAATAAAATGTGATAATCATCGTACCAGTACAGCAGGTGGTTACAACAGATTAACAGTAACCATTAAGAGTCGTGCATAGGCCACGTGATAACGAAACATTCTGAGCTCATCAATGAACAATTGTAAAGGTTTTATTGTAACTCATAGGAAAACCTAAGGATATATTTTGTAAAATTTATTATATTACGAGTGTCTTTCCCTAAGTCTACCGACCCCTGAATTCCCCACGCTATCGTCACCCTGTAATAAATAAGTAACGTTGCAAGTCCTCACCTTCAACCACAAGGATTAAATTACGTAATTCGAAGTGCAAAATTGAGATTACCGGTTGCTGAGTTTACCGGTTTATAATGCTCAGTTTTTAATAATCCGTATAAGACCAATTTATCATTATTATTACTTGACTTACGGATTCATTAAGTTTATCCTCGTCTTAACTCAAAAAAAGTTTTCAAAGGACTTGCATCCAGAAGGGATTTACCAGGAACAGGCTAAAATTAAACAGATGTTGAGATTAATGCACGATGATGATTCGTGATCTTAAAATTGCTACCTTTTGAAACTCTTCACGAGTTAATAAGCCTTGACTGTTCCCTGTGAAAGAAAAATAGGTAAATATAGTCATATTATAATATATATTTCCTCCATATTGCAAAGGTAATTTCGCTTGCCTTCAGTTTCTTCCTTGTGTAAAACAGTGTCTTTGGAATCTGGTACGACATCAATCTGAAACGATTGTAAAATGAAAAAGCTAGTCTAAATCAAAGATCTCTTTCTTTTCTGCTTCCCCTGCCAGTCATGTTAGTAGCAATATAAGGGATGGATAGTGAATGTTCTTGCACGAAGTAAATTTCATGCAAAGCGAGTTTGAAGAGAAATTCTTACCTTAAAAGCGCTTGGTCCATATCTCGGACTACGACTCAAATATCGAGTTCGTTGAAGAAATGCCGAACCAAGATTCAACTTTTGACCGGAATCTTGTAATAAAATCGACGAGGGTTAAGATCTGCCGTGTTCTGTAAGCAGCATCTTTTGTTCTGCGCTGTCTAAAATGTTGGCAGATAATTTGTTCATTTCGTAAATGCGCGAACAATGGCCGATCTGTTTTAACATTACAAACCTGACTCCTTGAGTTCGGTTTTCTTCATTTACAACATCATCCCGGGTATCTTCAATATTAGTTTCCTCATCTTCTCTACACGATGCGAGGCGATCTTTGACAAGATCTACAATCAATGTACGCTGTCTGTGCTCTTGCTAAGAAGTTCTGTTGTAGTTTCAAGGCGTTGTCTGGCTCCTTCTTTAATGAGTTCGGCCGAAAAATCATCTGAAATACAACAATATCAATTTGACATTCCGCCAACGGAATGCCCAACCAAAACATTGAACAGGTTTGACCCATCGTTGACCTTACCAAAGAGTTGTTTTGGAATTAAACTTTCATAAATCTCAGTCTTTCCCACCGCTGGTCGTCACAAGATGTTTGAGTCACAAGATTTCTGTATTGAGCCTACGGTACCAGTGGGCTTTAAATCGCGGGTAAGAAGGTCAGATGCTTTGGTATCGAATTTTGTGTTTGGCACCGGGCTATAATCATCTGCACGAGTTTTTCTATCAGTTGAAGAAGCCTGGAAATGACAACTACGTTCCTAAGAGCTTTCACTAGAAGAATATTAAAACTTGGTCGCTCTTGCAAATATATCTATTGAAAATTCAGCAAGCAATCCCCCTGGCAATAGAATGACATGTGGACTTACTTTCGTAATAAATGGCACGAATTGTTTTCTTAACAATAGCGGACAGTTGACAAACCAGGATGAAATGACTTTATCAGCAAGAGCTACAGTGTATTGAGAGTATCTAAGGTGAAACATATCAGTTCGTTTATATTTTATTCATTTTGACAAAACCAATAATAAAAAGTTTCAGATGTTATCGCGTTGAGCCAACTTCGATGATTCTGTGTAAGGCAAACATATTCCAAAGACTTGTTTCAACTGGATCGCTGTGAAGTTTTTGTACAAAGCACAAAGCTGTTACAATGCGATTTAAACGATTTAAAAGAATGTTACCAACTTTTCGCCGAATACGATTGTGTGTTTACACAACCTAGCTCTCTTTAGGGGGTACATTGATATTTTGTAACAGATTTCATAATTTACGTAACTTCAAGAAACATACCAGAGGAAAATTCTAGCAGTGGTATGGCAACTTGAGACGTTGGCGAAAGTTTAGTAAACTTTTCCAGATATTGTGGGAGCAGTCTAAGGACAGAAAATTTAGTAATTATTACTTAAAAAATCATATATTTGTGAAGGAGTATCTCGCATCACAAGAGACGTTACGTTTAGGCTGCAGTTTATTGAAAAACGTTTCTGTAAATTCACTGAGCACATTATCAAGGCACGATTTCAAATATCTCCAAATAAATAAACTTCTAAAACGCTGCAACTACTTAAATCAACTTCATTCTTACAAAGTGCTAATGGACATAAAAAAACGTCTCAAATTCCAGACTATTTTAAGTAGCCATACCTTGCCATAACTGGAGGCATTTCTACCATACATATGGTGAGACAAGATACGCTTAAGGTCGCGAAATGAGCAACCAAGTACGCATTAGACAACACTAGACGAAATATACAACAACGTTTAAGCAAGAACAGACAACCGCTGAAAATAAAGTCACGCAGATTCTTACCTGTTCATCTTGACCAATAAAAATGTGGTACGTACACAGCTCCGTTAATACCTGCACGTGTTACAATAAAATATCCAATTAAATCATTAGTATGGTATGATATAATTATGGTATAAATTGGTTATGGTATGGTGGGATATAATTATGGTATGATAGGCATGGTTATGGTATGGTATGATTTCGTTATGGTATGGTATGGTGTGATATTATTATGGTAAGATATGGTTATCGTATGGTATGATTTAGTTAAGGTTAGTTATGGTATGATATGATTATATGATATGATTATATGATATGATTATATGATATGATTATATGATATGATTATATGATATGGTATGGTTATGGTATGATATGGTTTTGGTATAATTATGGTAAGATATTATGATATATGCAAAAAACTGATTGATAAGAACCGTACTGGAAAAATTCTAGCGTACAAATGAGGTCGGCGCATATCGTTAGGAACACGAAATAATCTAGGAAGAAAATTGTAATTTGAAACCTGAATGCAAAGTAAAATTTTTAGTTCATGATTTTGGTGTGAAAAGTACACAACTTCACTTCCCTTCCCATTTTAGAGAAGACTGTAGATATTGAACGTAAATATTGCTCTCCAGAAAGTATCAAGTTTTTATCTTGCAGTGCCTCTGGAAAGTTCCTCAGAAGAACATCCAACACCTCCCATTCCAATTCCTAGAAAATGAAGAAAGTTGAACTTCAATCGAAACTTAATGCCAGATGATACATTATGATAGAAAAGTTTACCTGTTGTAAGCACACAAGAATAACATTCATCGCCTCGCTGTAAGGCAGTGAAACAATCCCGTTTGTCTTATCTTCTGCAGAACTAAAACAAAAATGAGAATGTATTACGCAAACAAGAAAAGGAATTTTGGAAGCAGAATACCTGACATACGTGGCACTATCGTCATTAACCAACATTTTCTTTCAGAACAAACAAAATACGAAGTGAATTAAACTTTTCTACTTTTGTCTTGCACAAGGCCTAGACGTTGTCAGCTCGCAGACTGAGGAAACATTGAAGAATCTTTAAGAAAACACAATGTGAGACATCATAGAAAAATCGCGAGAAATAAAATTGAATTTGCCTTACCGAAAGCCGTATTTCCGATGCACTATACGTCCGATAGCCATTGTCATAATGAGTTTTTATGTGGTACACTAATATATTGAATATTCGTTCGGCTCGTTCTTGAGGTTTACGCAACAATTTTATCTGCGAAAATAGAATGAAATTACTGAAAGAGAAGCAAGTGTGGCATTAAATTACACTTATTTTTGTTCACGAAAATAACTTCATCACAATGAACGAATATGTGTGGACAATCTCTGCATGTCCTTCATTACCTTGAACAAGCGTACTAATCCTAATACAGCCTCCTTGATGTCTTTCTATGCTGTTTCATCCTGAGGCTGCAGCAACAAAGACAAATTACAGTGATTAGATGTAATTTTATGTCTCTAGATGTTCCTACATATACCTTGCAGTCTCTATAATTACCTTACATGTTCTTTACATGACGGCTTAACGTATCGCTTGAGAGGATCAACTGGACAGTGGCAATCTGGAATTGATAAATGAAATATATATCCTTTTACTTCACTGATGCGTTTGCATTCACGACCCCCGTGTAAAACGATCCAATTTGCGGATATATAGTTAGGTTCAGGTCAGGAAGCTTTCACTGATAAGAAAGAATTTTCTATTGAAGTACAGTATCAGCTCATCACGAATGAAGAGGGAAATTGGAGTGGAGAAATGAAACCGTCTGAAAATGATTGTATTGAGTACCTTCTCGATTATATGCAAAACATCGCAAACTTTCGGTGAATCAGAGGATTCAATAACATCGACCAGAAGCTGGACAGCTCGGATCCGCACAGAAATATCCCGATCTTTGACAATGTGGTCTAAATGTGGCAACACTGAATTCTCAAGTATTTCTTCCTGTAAAAATCAAGGAGTTATAAAACTAGAAAAAGATTCATAATATCGCTAATGTCTAGAAAAATGGACTAAAATTTATTCAAAGTACTAAAATTTTATACCTCATATAGTGGAGATAACGTTCCTAATATGTTACAAAGCACATTTAGAGCTTTAATTCGGTTGGCCGTCCTCTCTTCACATCTAAAAAAAAATTCCCATTAGGATAAGACTGAGGCTACATAGAAATACATCACGAACTTAAACAAAAATCAACATACCAAAATATTACATTTTTACATAACAAAATATAAAGAAAAAAGAAGACCACACACTTGAAGTATTTCTCCACCAAATCTTTAATATTTTCAAACCAGTTTTCGCAGTAAGGATGAAGAGACTGGGAACGATGAGAAACCAGGAGAATAACTGAGGATTACTGCAAACAACGACATTTCATTTAGCTGCAAACAACGACATTTTATTTAGCTAAGTGGATTCCGTTAGATCTTCATATATTTTATTAATTTTGTCCTCAAAAAAGTCATAAAATTGTTAGCTAGATTCTCATCAGATTGGCACACAGGATATTGAGAATCAGGGGTATAATGTAGTAACTTTCCAACGGTTTTAAATAATTTCTTTTGGTCACTCCAATTATCTCTAACAATTTCAGAATAATAACGAGTACAACTTTCCTATAATAGCTCACTGACACGGCGACATTGCTGACTGTATTTTAGACGATCACAGGATTGTCTTGACTTACGCCATACCCGCTCGAGTTTCCTTCTAAT